AACGTGTGCCCAGGTGGCCAAGGAGGCCAATGGCATCCTGGCCTGGATCAGGAACAGTGTGGCCAGCAGGACCAGGGAAGTGATTCTTCCTCTGCACTCAGTGCTGGTGAGGCCACACCTCAAGTATCGTGTCCAGTTCTGGGCCCCTCAGTTCAGGAAGGATATTGAGGTGCTGGAGCAGGTCCAGAGAAGCGCAGTGAAGCTGGTGAAGGTCTGGAGCACAAGTCCTGTGAGGAGAGGCTGAGGGAACGGGGGTTGTTTAGCCTGGAAAGGAGAAGGCTCAGAGGAGACCTTATCGCTCTCTACAACTACCTGAAAGGAGGGTGTAACCAGGTGGGTATCAGTCTCTTCTCCCAGGCAACCAGCAATAGAACAAGACAGTACAGTCTAAAGCTACACCAGGGGAAGTTTAGGTTAGACATTAGGAAGAAGTTCTTTATAGAAATATATGGGCTGCCCAGGGAGGTGGTGAAGTCGTTGTCCCTGGAGGTATTTAAGAAGAGACTGGATGTGGCACTTACTGCCATGGTGTAGTTGACAAGGTGGTGTTAGGTCAAAGGTTGGACTTAGTGATCTCAGAGGTCTATTCCAACCTAGGTGATTCTGTGATTCTGTGGTTATTCCATGATGCATTTTGTTTGAGTGTTTCTGATTTTTCAAGACCTCATATTGATTACAACTACTGACTGTTTTCTTGATTCAGTAAGTTGTTTCTGTTTTATCTCTCTGGAAGCAAATACTTTTTTTCTAGATTTTATTTTTAATGAAGCATAGCATTTGTACAAAAAGTGCCTGCTTTCTAAGAAAAATTTCAAGATACCAATACTAAGAAATCTTCAAATTTAGAGCCAATCTACCTAATGCAAACGCTTTCATGTCCTAGTGTATGTGAGAGTTTGGACACTGGGAGCATTATTTTCTGTGGACCATGTTTCTCAGAAAGAGTTAATCTGCCAGGATGTGGTGTGACTTTCAGATTCCCTATTATCATTTAATATCAAGTGATGATGATGAGTGGTAGGAGATTTAGCCCTAATGTAATAAACCCAGTATGCGGGCAAAAGGGGAGGAGTAAAGCAGCTAATCAACATTTATGTTTTCATATTGTGTCAGATAAGCTTTACAAATTCTGCAATTTACAGGCTACAGTTATTATAATGCTGGTGGTGTACTGTCATGCAGGCTGAAGAATTCTTTCCTTTGGAATTACTAATTTTCACTCAATAGTTGCAGCAGTTGGTGCCTAGAAAATAAAATGTTGCTGACTTTGATTCTCACACCTCTGTGGTCAGAATCATCTCTTTTGTTTTTCTTTTCATACAGCAAACCTTGCAAGCCTACTTTAGCTTATGTAAGATGGAAGCTGACAGCATTTCAAGGAGAAATGCTGTTCACATTGAAGTCACAAAAATGGAATTGCCTTTTGTAGTCCTTGCAGCCCGTCCAAACAGGATTGCTAGTTGTGTACATGCAGTTTCCCAGTGAAAGGGAACCTTTGAAATCTCTGGCCTAAGATTTTTGAAAGCAAAATAAACTAAAAGTCAAGAGTGATATGTAAAGTAACTGTAGACTCTTCTAGCCTGGAAAAGAGGTCACACATAGATGTTGATTATCAACCCAGCAGGGTACCTTCATAGGCTTGAGGCCACAGCCTCTGCATCCAGGCGATATCTCTCCTCCCACTGTGTGTAGATGTTTGCTTGCTTTCTTCATTGTCCATTTCTTTCTAGTTCCGCTAACAGAATTAATCTGTTGATGTCAGTGGTCAGCAACTTTCAGAGCTGCTAGGTCTCACAGAAATTTATCATATTTTGGGTATAGCACAGTACCTGTGACAGGACAGGTTTACATTACATGCCAGTACATTATTCCCAGTGGTTTAGGAATGTCTTTCTGCATGGGATTTGCCAAGATGTGTACTTCATTGGCAAAACGATGCTAAAATCTGAAAATGTGAGAAAAAAAAGACAGCTATGGTCTGTGAAACCCTTTGAGAGTGACGTTCTTGGCTCTGCCTGCATTGGATGTTCTTTTGCTGGACCATCTGAGAAGCCAAGACAAGCTTATACTTCTTTTACTTTTTGCGTCATGCCAGCTCTGCCACCAAGTGTATGCTGTATTTGCTAAAACTCCTTCCAGGACTTCAGCATGGAGTGTAAGGAAGCAGGCTCCTCTGCTGCTTATGCTGAATGAGTAGTTCCCTCCTCCTCTCAGACCCAGTGTACCCTTTCCATCACATACTCAACATTGCTTAGCCTGTGGCACAAGAGTTTCAAGTCTGTCTTGCACCTGATTCCTCTTTGTATGTCAGCATTCAGAGCTGCTGCTTGCTGCAATTGCCCCAGGCCTTTGCACATCCAGTTGGATTTTAATGTCAGATCAACATAAGCACAAGTACGTAAGGAAAAGATGTATGGGGGTAAACACAGAATGCCATCCTGCAAAACCCTGAAGAGTTTCTGAGCTCTTCGTTCCTAAGGTAAATACATAAATGGTGGGAAAAGGAATGGGGCTGAGGAGCTTTGCAGTAATGGAGACCTTCTAATAAAGTATATTTTGAAGTCAGTGAAATCAAAAGGTCTTGTTTTCAGATTGTTGACATAGGTCACCTTATCTGATTCAAATTTGTCTATGCGGTAATGTGAAATTATGTGAGACATTTATTGTAAGCATTTTCTCTATGCCAAGAGTGTGAATAGCTTGACAAATTGTAGCTTGTGTAACAAATTGTGAAGCTAGGAGAGCTGGGCTAAGAAGCACAAAAGAGAAAAAGACCAGACAGTGGCTGCAGAGAGCAAAAATCCTTCACCCTTGAGACTGCAGAATTGTAATGCAAGTTGAAATCATGCTCCTGTGCTGTTTTTTTAGATACAAGGCCTAAATGTTGCTCTGACCATATCTCAGTTCTCTCCAGTTAAATCCTTCCAGGAACATAATTGGCAAAAAAATATAGCTTGAGTTGAACTTCTGCAATGGGGTTTACAATAGCTAAGGATGTTTCCAAAAAGATAATGTAGTTAAAACTGTAAATAGAACAATCTGGGGGTAAAGTTCTGAACTTTGATCTTTCTAAAAAAGGTAGGTTTTGCTTGCTTTTCTTGGTTAAAGAAATGCAAATAAACCTCTGTTGATCCTGTAAAAGATTTGTTTAAAATCATCAACCCTTTATTCCAAGTTGCCCCTTTATCTCTAAGATTTTTATTATGAAATGCAACAGTTTATTATCGTGGGTTCAGAGTTGCATTCAACCTTCCATAAAAGAGCAGTGGGTAGATCACTGTACTTACTAATATACACTCTTGGTTGTCTTTATGCCTGAGTCAATTCTTCCATCAGGAAACCTAAATATAGTGTTGACCTTTAAAGGGATACCTGTACAGATTCAATTGAGCAGGTTTTATTTTTCTATACAAATCTGCAACTCATTTATGTTTTCTTCACTGCCTTTCCACTGAGTCTCAGCTTATTAACCGTGACAGTAGCACGGACATCTGTCCTTTAAATAACACTCCTATAGCAGTGTTTACAGAGAGCATATACATGTGTAGATTCTTTCTTCAGCTTTCCTTCTTGCTGGCGTTTTTAAATTCAGTCAATATTTGTCCAAAGAAACAGTCTTATTTTGGAACTCCAAGCTCCAGGTCCATAAACTCTGTGCAAACTGTTGAGGATGCGAAAAAGTAAATGATGACATACTTAGTTCTTTCTACATCCCATGCTCAGGTTTGGCTAATGCATTGCCAACGTCCTTTCCCTTTTTTGACAAATGTTTTCTGTGCAATGCCGATTCTGCCACAAGCGCTTCAGTTCATTTCTGTGCCTTTGGCTTTGTTCCTTTGTTTGAAAGTTGTTTGGCTTAAGTGTCTTCAGGCTGAAGTACTGAGCTTTCAAAGTCACAAAATAGAAAATCATCAGTTTTCTATATCATGTTTTATCAAGACATTTCAACTTCCAGTGTTAGTGAATTCATGCTGGAAGTTTTTGTGAAAATCTTTCTAAGCCACTCAAGTAGCTTAAAGGGCAAAGGTCTGCTTTAAAATACTTCTCTAAGAAGTTTACTCCTAGTTTCAGTGGGTTTCCAGGGCAGCACTGAATGCTTCCCTTTCTGCTTGCATCTTGCATTTTGTGTTGTGAAGTAGTTTCTAAGGCTGCTATTTCAGGATAACTTTAAGGTAACTTAGTGCTGTATGTGAGATCTATGTTCCCTATCTCTCCTTCTAAACCCCAAGATACTAGTTTTAGCTTTCACCCATTGCTAAAACCAGTCTCCATGTTCTTGCTCATCAAACTACATCAGAAATTGATGCAGCTGAAAATTAACTTGAGAAGAAAGATACCTGTTTCCTGTTTCTTTATGAGTCTGCCCAAGGTAATGCAAATGTCTATGTCAGGTTTGAGCAGTCAGTCAATTTGTGTGAGACCTAGCAGCTCTGAAAGTTGCTGACCACTGACTTCAACAGATTAATTCTTTTAGAAGAACTAGAAAGAAATTGACAATGAAGAAAGCAAGCAAACATCTACCCACAGTGGGAGGGGAGATATTGCCTTGAGTCTGTGGCCTCAAGCCTATGAAGGTACCCTGCTGGGGTGATAATCAGCAGCTATGTTCATCTTCTCCAGCCTAGAAGAGTCTACCAGTTACTGCACAGGCATGAGGCAGACAAAAGTGATTGGGAAACTAAATGGCAAAAAAAGTCCAATTGACATTTATTTAAACACCTTAAAAATCACCTTCAGAATGAAGATTCTGTATAATTTAACAGGAATCATTTACTATGATGATCCACTATGTACAGATCCACTGTTTATCAAGATCATTTGGCTTGGCATACTGAAACACTTTGCAATAATCATCTTCATAAATAAAAAAAAATAGGAGAAAGGTAGCATTGGAAAGAAAAGATTAATTCTGTTAATGTGCATTTTCCAACAATTTCAATGTTTTCAACATTTTGCTGTTGCAAATCACTGTTCACTGTGTTTTATTCTCCTCTTCACAGATCGAATTGCACAGAATATCATTAAATCTCATTTGGAGACATGTCAATATACAATGGAAGAATTACATCAGCTAGCATGGCAGACCCACACATATGAAGAAATTAAGGTTTACCAGAGCAAGGTACAGTCCTGTAATATGCTTTTTCTGCTGCTTGAAATTGTTAACTGTGTAATTTATTTGGCAAGTTTCATATAAGTGAAAATAGGCTTCTAAATATCTCTGAGGAACTGGTTACTGAAAGCAAAGGAGTGACACTTCATAGAAAGAAGCAACAGCTTTCCAGCATATGGACATATTTGCTAATGTTGAAGCTTATGTACGGTCATGGAATTCAGTTTTCCATTTTTGTTATAACAAATCTAAACCTTATGCAGAAATTCAGTTGTCTTTATTGTGATCATGACTGGATCCATTGTTTTAGGGATTTTAAGAAAATAAGACAATATAACTTTGTTTCCTTATAATTTTAAAAACATATCTGCTTTTTATGTAAATAACAAAAATCTGTCACTTATATACAATAGATAATGACAAACTGAAAGTACTCCTTAAATTGAAGCTATTCAAATTGGGTGGAAAAATCATCTCATTGCACTATATTTTTGTTCTGCCTCTGCGATTCTTGGGTCAAGTTCAGTCTGTTTTTCACTGGTACCTCTTCAGATGTAGTCCAGTCAACAGAAATCTCTGTGCCTCTTGCACTAGTTTCATTAGCAATGGGTCTTTGGTCAGAGTTCAGTTGGCACGTTAGCTGATCATGTAAGAGACAGGAGAGACTCCAGCTTGTTCTTTGAAATCTGAGGGTCTGTGGAGAATTAGCAGGAACAAAAGAACATCCATTTATGTTTACATGTGTATGTGTGCAAGGAAAATTATTATCAAGTAATCAAATTTTTTGTAATCCATTTCGAGATGGCAATGATATTTTAATTATATATTACTTTACGTTTCAACTAGCAAAAATATTCTGTTGAATAACTTCATAGCATTTTGCCACTTCTTACCTAAATGTACTCTGGGATGGTTGCATTTTTTATGCTGCTATCCTGCACAAAAGCCAACATTAGAACCACATTTTAACATGGGGCAATGCATTCTGCTCCTTTGAAGAGGAAATGCCAGAGTTCAGATGACTGGTGCAATCAGCTTCTGAAAACAGCCTTCTAATGAAAAGTGCGGGGTACATTGAGAAGCAGAGATGCTGCCAGCTCTGCCTGGTAATGGGAATGGAGTCTGGGGAGTTCATCTGCAAGGCTAACTGAAGAACTTAATGCACTGACGTACTTGCTTGCTCACCACTTTGCTTTTTCATGTGTGTTTTCCCGGAAGACCAGAGAAGCTCTGTGGCAGCAGTGTGCTATTCAGATCACCCATGCTATCCAGTATGTGGTGGAGTTCGCAAAGCGCATAACAGGTTTCATGGAGCTCTGCCAGAATGACCAAATTCTCCTCCTTAAGTCAGGTGGGTAAACACCAGAGGCTTGGGGCTGGTTTGGCACCCAGCACCCTAGAAATGTGCTCAGCTGTCTTGTTCTGCAAATCATTTTAATTTTGAAGGAGCCCTAATTTAAGTTTGAAGGGGCCCTAATAGACCCCTAACTCTCTTTCATTAACCCGTCTGTATTTTTCCACATTAGTCATGTTACTGCCTTCTGATCCCTTTCCCTCTACAGTCAGTTGTAGTTATTAAGTACATACATACACACAACCATTGCAAAAACTGCAGTCTCCAACCTGACATGTGGTGGAAGGACCCTGCAAATTGAGCTGGTCCAGTCAGTCATCTGCCACCCCATGAAATCACTCAGGCCTGCCTCTGTGGTCATCTCTAATCTTTTTAATGAGACTACAGAAATACCCTACAGCCTGCACACGAGGGAAAATCCCTGCTGGTGCCAGTTGGTTTCAGAATAAATGAGAACAGATTACAGCAGTGTGCTCCAGCCATGCTCTCTGTGCATGCCAGGTTTGCATGTGTGTGTGCATAAGGGCAAGGGGGAAAAGGCTTTCTTTACTTGTCAAGGAACTTGGTAATTTCTGTCCTCTGGAAAAATCATGACAAGATTTATCATGACTATGCAGTAACACTGCCAAACTCAGGAGGACAAAATGGCATGACCAAGTGAACCACAAGAACCACAACTGGTAATTAACTACATTTACCCTGTCATATCAGTTTCTTGCTCCCTTCAAATGTAAAAGGTAGGATACTGTGTGAGGTGGCTCATTAAAGTTTAAGTCTTCCTATTTCAAGAGAGATCTCTTCCTTAAGGCTGAAAGCCCGTGTGATTCAGTATTCTGTACACAAAAGACTGCAGCTCAGTGTGGGGCTGATGGTGGACACAGGTGCAAAGGAAAGTGATACAGAGACTCTGGGAACATACAGGCAACCTTCTGGAAAAAGGGAGTTGTAGCACAAAAACTATTCTTTTAAATCTTGTACTAATTTTGAAAATTCTCTAGATACCAGTGCACCCCTAGGAAAATTCCTTCTTTTGCCTGGCAAAGCTAACAACACAACGGCACCTTCAGGAAAAGATGTATTTGGCTGTACTGTCAGAAAACACTGTTAAGCTTTAGCATATAAAGATATGTCAGGTTTTATTTTCTGTTTCGCTGTTAACACTGAGCAAGAAAGTCACGACTTCTCTCTCAAAAGTATGTTTGCAAAAGAATCCTCAGATTCAGAGTTCATTTTACATGACATTTGGATTTAGTTAAGGCATGTTTAAAATTTTTCCTTTCATTTTCCCAACTGCATATTTTGCAGTTAGGAAATAATATGCAAAGATAAAGAATAAAAAGGAAGTCTTCCTTTGGCTAATCAACAACCAGAACAGCAACAACAACAAGAAAAGAAATAAAAAAAAAACCAACCAAACCAAAACAAGGAAAACAAACGTAAAACCTGTTTTAGGGATGATCTTGACAGTGCTTTAACCTTTATTTTCTCTCTAAAAATGCTTTGTGATGATCTCCCTCTCCAGTCAAATTAAGCTGGGATTTTTATACACATTGAATGAAGATGCTTTTTGGTATTAAAAAAAAGGTTTAATTATTAAAAAGAAGATTCAATAAATGCCTAATTTTCAGGATAAAGTATTTCAAAATTAAATTATTTGCCCAGGTCTAAACTCAGATTTAGTCCAGGCTGGGGAATTTTTTTTGCTGCAAAGGGGGAAAAAGTCAACTGAAAGAAAAGGTGGTTAGACTGGACCAGAAATGACCCCTTTCTGCATGCAAAACAGACTAATATTTTACTGCCATTCAGAGGCATGTAATCAAGATGTCTTCAAAGAGTGCCTAACCCTGCTGATGACTCATGTCTTCCTAAATATCTTCTTGAAATTTCCTATGCTCTGATATTAGGCAGTAATATATGGTTCCTTTGCTCTTTTTTCTGTCTGATAGGCTGCTTGGAAGTGGTTTTGGTGAGAATGTGCCGTGCCTTCAACCCACTCAACAATACTGTTCTGTTTGAAGGAAAGTATGGAGGAATGCAAATGTTTAAAGCTTTGGGTATGTTGCTCTTCTTCTTTTCAACCAGTTACATTGACCCACATAGCGAGAGATTTGTCTTTATGAAAATAGTGATCCACAATGAAAATCTCCAGTAAATGTTGAATCCCCAAGCCTCCAAATGTCTAGGCTGGAACAGAAAACGAAAAAAGGTGAGTCCACTAGCTCTTAGCAGTGATAGGCATTTTTCTCTAATAAAAAAGAGCAGCATCAGGGTTTTTTTCAAATGGATTTCTTTGCCATCTGAAGTTTTGGTAAAACATGAGTTTATGGCAGGAGCCAAGCTGTTTATCTTCACTGTTCAGTTATGCTTGATGTATCAAATCACTCCCACTAATTGTGTCCTGCAGAAGGCAACTTTAGCCCCAGCAATGAGGTGACTAAAATGATGAACTGCTATGAAATATAGACAAGGACTTTCCTAAAATATTGTTTTGCCTAAAACTTTTAAGTACGTTCATTTATATTCATTTATTGAAAAAAATTACTTAATTTCTTAACATGATATTGAGTGCTACCTGAAATGTGTTTTGCCCATCCAACTGATATTGTCAGAAATTTATTCAGGAACAAAGTCAAAAATTTGAGATATTTCCTTCAAATGTATATATCACATTAGTATATATTTTTCTTATTGGGTATTATACACAAAACACTCTTTACACGTTTAAAGCATTTATGAATGTATATTCATTGATTTATTTTGGTCTTTATGATGTTTTCACAAATTTTCATAAATATTTTTACTGATAATTAGTAAAATTATATATGGGAAAATTATTTAGTGCTGGTCTTTCATACCTCTTAGATTTAATATCTATCTAGAAATAGCAATTCTTTCCACATTGGGAAAATAGTGCTCTCTTCTAAGATGTCTTTGCAACTTTTGTACTTGCCCCTAATTCTTGATAATTTTTTTGCTTCAGTGTATGTTTTAGTGACATTTTCAGGTTTGGTGGAATTTTAATAGTTAATGAAAGGCAGACATTCACTCATACCTTTTTGTCACAAAAACAATCCTTTTTCATGGCAGGTTAAAGAGCTGATTTCTAGCATTGATTTTGTCCTCTTTGGTCTGCAGGCTCTGATGATCTGGTAAATGAAGCGTTTGACTTTGCAAAGAATTTATGTTCCTTACAGTTGACTGAGGAGGAGATTGCCTTGTTTTCATCTGCTGTTCTGATATCACCAGGTAATTTTTCATTCCAAACACCACACTCCTTTTTTTTCCTCTTTGCTCACCTCTGTTTCTACCTACTTAAATAGGTGTTTAAGCTGTGTTAAGCAATGTTGAGCAATATATTAAGCAATGTATTAAGTGGAAGAATACCTGAATTACCCCAAATACACCTCACTGTCTCATTGGTAGACCATCAGGAATTACACATATTGGAAGTAGATCCAAAGTATGGGTTAACAGGCATGGAGCAGGATTGTGTGAAGAAGCAGTGCAGGCTGACGTTCTTCCAGACCACATACAGAGAAACATGGTACTCAAGGAGGTACATGTTCCTCCTGACTTTCTCAGGGAACACAAACCTCACAGCCCCAAACAGGTTATATGGTCCATAACTATGATGGGCTTTTTCTGTGGGAATAAGAACATGAGCAGTTAAAATCTATGTGAGGTACTGTCTGAATTAAATTCCAGGTGAGATGATGTGATTATAGGTGCAACATGCTCTTTTCATGTCTTCATATTGTAATTCTGCACAGGCAAGCATGCATTTGAGTGAGTGATGGCTGGCTGACTTTTGTGATTAAGTTGACTCAGAAGGTGGACCTAGTAGACAAGCTCACAGTTTAGTGCGGGATTTTTAAGTATACCTCAGGGAATGTAGACACCCCGTTTCCTCCAAGGGTAACCTCTTGAAAGACCTTACAAAAAACCTCACCATGAATTATTTTTCCAGCTTTTTCTGCTAAAGACTTCCTCTAGGTCACTTTGCCCTTTTGCACATCTGTGGTATAGATTATGTTAGTCAGAATTAGACTAGCACAGATGGTGTCAACACGTTCATTCTCATCATTACTGACACCTACTGAAAGGACTCTACTCCTTTTTAGTTTGACTTTGAGGAGTTCTTGCCATCATCTGCTCAGAGGTGAAATAGTTGAGTTGGTGGCTCTTCATGGTGTTAGGCCAGGATGTTGCAGAGATAAAACAGTGACCATTTCCACCTCAAAAGTGTCCCAGCTATGTGCAGGCGTGTGCCTGTCACTATCCCCCAGAGGTCCTGACTTCCTCTGGGAGAGCGGACTTGCAGTGTCCTTGTGGGTCCCTGCTCATCAGCCCTCCCTCACTCTGAAAAGACCAAAGCTGTGAGGGTGACAGAGAGATGAGCTTGCTCCTGGAAAACATCAAGTGGGCATAAAAATTCTGATTAATTTCTGCAGTTCTACATATGGCCCTCTAGTTTGCAAGCAAGAGGGTACATGCAGTGTCTACTATTCCTTTTTAAAAAAGAGAATAAAAGAAGCGAAAGTGCTTGATTCATGCAGGCTGTTTATTTCTGTAGTCCGTGAGGATGTGTAACTTTAGTCATAAAACACACAGTAAAAAAGAAGTGGTGGGCTGCGGCAGCATATACATGAGTGAAAGCAATCTCTCGTCCATAAAAAGACAGCAAATTTGGACTGAGAGTGGGAAGAAAGGGAAAATAGTCCAGATTGAACTGACATTGAAATTTGCCATCTCTTTTCTTGCAAAAATGATAATAGTAAACAATAGAGAAATAAATATTTCCTTCCACACTAGATGCTCTGATTTCTTCACAATAAAGAGTTTCATCATGGAAATATCACAGAAGTACTTGGACCAGTCCTTCCATCAGCTAATATGAGCTTACAAAGTTTCCTTATGGGAAGTATTCATATTCAAGTTTCTTTTCTACAGAAGTCACCACCCTGAAAGGTGATTCTTGTGCCCTTGATCTCAGTGTTTGGGCAGTTTACAGAGAATGGAGTGGTTCTATAGCGAGTAAGGGACCTAAGAACATCCCCTAATAGATTTGCTAAGGTTGCAAAGCCCAGTGTCAGACCCATTTTCCATCTAATTCAGAGCACAAATCCAGATTTTCCACTTTGGGATATGTAACCACGCTGCTTGAAGGTGATTCTTTAACTTGATTTCTGATTTCAGAAGTTAAAACAGTATAAGAGTCCATAAAGGTTGCAGAGGCATCTCTACCTGCAAACTTGCCAGAGCAAGGTGATAAGACGCTAACCTGGCTGCCCCCATATACCAATCCCTCTCCTGAAATTCTGACTTGCCATGTTCGTTCTTTCCATTTTAGTTTTTGAAAAAGCAGGTGTTATAAGCTTTCTACATTTTCTTTCCTACACTATTATCTAATCTAGTGGGCTGTGCACTCCTTAAAGATACACAAGTTCAACACTTAAAAGGAAAAGTATGTAACTGAACCGCTGCTTCCTTTATGAGTAGTCACTCATCTATTGACTTTTTCCTGAACTATTGTGAATATAGCTAGTCACTTGGGAAATTCCAGCCAAATTTGCAGATGGTAGAAATCACATTTCAGGTGGTAGAAATCACATTTTGGGAGACAAACTTAATATGCATTATAAAAGTTTTACCTAGCTCTTGTCATGAATTTAAGAACTCTTGTGGAATATACAGCATGCTTCATGACAGGTAAGGGATTAAACCTATCCTCTAACTGTCTCAGTCTATTTTTAAGCTTATTTTTGTGACAGAAAGGTAAATACTTTAAGGATAGGCCTCTATGATAAATCTTTTTAGCTCTAGATTGCCATAATAGGCATTAATTTAATGCTGTTGAAAGACATATTTTTTCAATAGCATAAATTTTGGCCCCTATCCTGTGAAGTCTAAATATTACTGTGTGCTTATTGTGTAGATGGTGCATGTGCTCTCAGCTAATTCTGTTTCTATGGCCACTGAGGCACAGGATCCATTGGCTGCAGCATGATTCTCTAAGCTTTGCATAAAGATTATTTTCTTTTCCTGATCATCTGTTAAGTAGCTGAGGTTTGGTTTTGTCTCTTTTCACGGTACTTGACAGTGAACACTTTTCATACACCTCTCTCCACAGAGAGTCAGACAAATAACAGAATTGTTTTCCTTCTGTGATGAAATGCTGCTTGGCTCCAGCCTGTGTGGCATCTGTGCTCATTGAAGCAGTTGACTTATATAATTTCTATGGGTTATTTTAGTTATGGGGATTGTGTGTAAAAGAGCTATAAAAGTGAAAGGACTTTTTCCTGTACTTTTCAATTTGCACATGAATATTCATGCCCTGTGATAAAATAAATTTTTGTATTTCCTATTTGAAAGCTAAAATCTATACCCAATAATTGGTCTGGATTGAGGGAGGAAGAAACAAATTTGTAGCATGGGAAAACAGAAAGTTCAGTGGTGCTGCAAACACACTGTATTAATCATTTTGCACTGTCTTGTGGTCTGCTACTTCTCTTTCTGTGTTTTTTCCAGAAGTTATGACTTGTGAGAATATAGATCTTAAGGACAACCTCCTGCACTTGGGCGTTGTGTTCAATAGAAGCCATATGGGTTTTAAACATCTGTACCTGTAACTGTTATTCTCCCAAATAATCTTCTATTTTGTGTTGTTTAAAAGGAGAATATTTTTAAACAATGAGAAATTTGCACTTCAAGGCATTTCGACAACTCATAATTTTTTTGAATTATTAAAGAAATTCTTTTGAAGGAAGCCATTTTTTTATGTAGAATATATTTGACCTCAAAATTTTAGCCTAGTAAATAATGAGATATATTTTATTTAAATAATTTTATTCTCTTATTTTCAAAGAACTGTTTTGATCGATGTTTATTATTTATGTATTAAGACACTGAGACAACATGACATGTTTATCACCTAGCCAGTATAAAGATAGAAGAACATTGATTGTACCAACAGAGAATAATAAAATGGTTGGGCCATGTTTCATTTCTATTCCCATCTTTATACCTGACATCCTGTTTTAAATAAAGAAATGCAGAGCCAACATTATGTTCCTGTATGTTTTGTATATGTTAGTTAAACACTCAGGTGGTCCTTTAATGTGTCAAGACACTTTGCCTCTGAAATCATGTCTTCATTACCATGCAGTCCTTCCTCGTGGGAATTATGATTACTGTGAATGCTTGCCAGTATGGCACGCTGTGTGCACCATGAGCATGCCCCACATCTGTGCATTCTTTACCTCTTGTTTTCCTTATTCTCAGATCGAGCCTGGTTAATAGAGCCAAGGAAGGTCCAGAAGCTTCAGGAAAAGATTTACTTTGCACTTCAACATGTGATCCAGAAGAACCACCTTGATGAGGAGACACTGACAAAGGTAAGTTTTTAAAACAAAAAGCCGAGCACTCCATGATCATGACTCTTTTCTTTTTGTAGCCGTTTCTGCATGTACTGCCACATTAACGTAACATGAAAGTAGCTCACTGTGTGCTTGCAATGCTTAGGAGTAGATAGGCTTGTTTGATGCTTGTCCTATTTCCTCTTACTCCATTTTTTGTTCAAAATACTAATCTTTTTAATTGATACCCTATCAAGAATGAGACTGCCTTAAAAAAATAACCCTCCTTCTAAATGCATTTTTGGCACTTGGCTAAAACTTCTGGGACAATTGTTTTCAGGCTTTTATGGTAAGAAAAATGTCTTTTGGATGGGTAGTTTTGATGAAGCTTAGAATATTGCATTCAGTTACTCAGCAAGATGCTAACAGTTCATTTTGGAAACTGTAATTTATACAAAATTTGATCCTTCCCTCTCCTTTTTTTTTTTTTAATGTCTCACAGTTAATAGCCAAGATACCAACAATTACTGCACTTTGCAACTTGCACGGAGAGAAACTACAGGTATTTAAGCAATCTCATCCAGACATAGTGAACACACTGTTTCCTCCATTATACAAGGAGCTTTTCAATCCAGACTCAACCACTGGCTGCAAGTGAAGGGGATAATAGAATTTTCACGTAGTCATGGAATGCATCACTATTAAGACAAAAAGAAATGGTTTCATGAAGAACGTATTAAAAATGTCACTACTGCAACACTAGGAATGTCCTGCACTTAATAGAATTATTTTTCACCGCTACAGTTTGAAGAATGTAAATATGCAACTCTGAGTGGGGATGTCATTTTTCTCTTTTCTTTTTTTTTTTTAACTGACAATGATTATACAAATATAGGACACTGTGTGTTACCTTTTTTTAAATTTACATTTATTGGGGGATGTTTTGGGAGACAGCTGTTCCTAGAATTTTATTGTAGATATACATGAGAATAGAGCAGTACTTTGCAGTATTACTCTTGCTGTTTATTGTTCAAATATTATTTAAGAAAATTCCACTTATTAGATTGCCTAGTTCTATGTTTTTAGATAGTTTAATGCATGTGGAAATTTGTAACTGTCTTGGAAATTATGGTGCATATATGGAATACACACATATATATATTTGCTATATACTTATATATATATATGAATATATAGATATATATATATGTAGGTATTATATGCATACATGCTGTAGCTTAAAAATCACATGCCTACATTTAAAGGATGCTCAGCCCAGCTGTAATGTATTTCTTAATCTCCAAGTAATGTATTAGATTTATTTTGGGCAATCAAGATTTGCTTTGCCAGTCAAGAGTTAAATTATCAGCTGCCAATGTGTAATGACAGGATCACTTCTGCAATATGTATAATGTAGTGCATATGTACTGTGTGTAAATCAAACATCAGGAATGTAACAATGGTTCAAAAGCCTTGTCTGGATGATTTTAGTGGAGAAAGGAGTAGTTGGGTTTTTTCTATTTTCTCACTGTTGCAGGGATAGAGCATATATAAAAGTGAACATAGGACCTGATGTTAGTAAAGTGTCTGGACTAAAAATGTAGACTATCTCATATGTACATTTTTCTGATTCCACACATTTTATTTTATATATATTGCTTTGAAAAGTAGTTTCAAGTCTTGGTTTGTTTTTTGCTGAACTCATTAGAAAGGTAGGTAGTAAGCTCAGTGAAAACCACAGCAAGCCTAAAATATGGCTCTGAAGAGTAGTGGGAGAAAGGGAGGGAAGGAGGAGGAAAGTCAAAGTGGGCAAAGTCCATGGTTGTTACAAAGGACAGTATAACTATCACTGTTTCTGAGAGTCATCATCTAGATGAGACTGAGTTTCCATTACACACATGCATCTATGTATGTTTTAAACACATGCATATATGTATGTATATATCTGTATGTATATAACTGTATCTATATATATGCATATAAGGATTTATTTTAGGCTCATTTCAGGAGAGGAGCAAAGCGTTGGGGCTTTCTTTTTGCCTCTGAATGGACTGTATGTGCATTTGCTTGCAAAACCAAAGGCAAACACAGAGGGCAGTGGAAGGCTGCCATGGACTTAATCTTGTGGATTAATTAAGTTAATTAGCAGTCATGATTCATGTATCTGAATTCTGCCAGTGATACAAAACACAGACTTTTTAGCCATAGAAGAGGGATTCAGTTTCTGCTACAGCTCTCTTTACCACCCCTTTTACCCATTGTGAACTTTTCCAGAGAAGTCTCCTCCTTGGATGCCAGCGGAGGGCGTAGAGCACAAATAAGAAGAAGCAGCCAGTAGAGAAGAAAGGAAGTGAGGCCAGGATCACAAGCAGATACCTTTCTTTATTTCAAACCATAGAGCAGTGAAAGCTGAGGCGAGGCAAGGGGAAGCATGTTGGCAGGGAGACCAAAGGACCCACCCATCTGCCCAGGCTTACAGCAGGGCAGTGTCACAGGCAGCCCCCAGGGACACAGGTGGGCCCTAGGGTGGGTGCAGAAACTTGGTTTGTTGTAGCAATAACTTAATGACTGGCAGAGCTCTGGTCTCAATCTTGTCTTTTCTGCATGAGCAAATAATTCACTGGCTATTCCAAGTACTTCATGGAGTTTTCCCTTGGCTTTCATCAGTCAGTTTGCAAGTTTGCATACAGGTTTCGTGGTAGAATCGAGTCTAGACAGCATCACAATTTGTTTGTTCTGATTTAGCAATGTCAGAACAGGTACAAGAGTGGTTACAAACTCTCAGCTAATAAATATTTCTCTGTAGGTCCATTACAATGTAGAAAAAATCTGCACAGCAGATTTAGTTGTGCTGAGAATTTTGTTGCAAATATGACATTCTCTTCAAAATTATTTAATCCTATAGAATAGCAATTACTAAAATACCTTTTTTTGCTCCAAATTCAGAGCACATTTCTCTAGTGATTATATTAAAATTTCTTCAATTAACATAATAAAGCATTATTCTTGATGCTTTTTTATACCACTCTAAGACTGACATTCCTTTATAAGGTGATTTATCTGTTTGCAGCCCCTTTTGCATGGCAAATCCATGAAAAGGACCACAATTCCACTTATTTTTAATATCAAAAAACTTTATTAACTGTGTCTGTCTACTGTTTGTGTGGATTTATTGGGGAAAAAAATGAGCCAAACTGCACTCTAGAAGTGCTCAGTTTTAAGTGCAGGGAATTCGTGTTTTCCTTGTCTTTTCCAACACAAGAACACACACGTATATATTTGTTTGAAATATATTATAAATCTATTTTCAGTATATCAAAAGTAACATATTTAACCAATCCACAGAAATACAGAATAAATGAATAAATACTACTATTTATAGTACTGACTAATAAAGAGGTTTGTCATGTTTATATATAGTCCTCTACAATTGCGTTTTACATCTTGAGAATGTTTTGTTCTTTTCAAATAAGCTAATTGCTCCTTGCGATTTTTGAATTATTTCTTAGTCAAGATAACCAAATGGAGATCACCAGTGTAAAAGACATTATTTAATCATTATCTGCAGGGCTTTTAATCCTTAAGGCACTATTGTTAAATCTCTCCAACCTCATGACCTTTTCAATCAGTAATGATTGCAGCCACTTTTTAAAGATGTGGAAATTAAAGAAAAAAAAGTTAAATGACTTGTAAGAGACCACAGAGATAGCAATATCCAGTTCAGGAATATAAATGGATTCTTGCCTTTTATCCTAAAAATACTAAGACACTAGCATACAAAATCTTCATTGCCATTCATAGGCATTAGCCTCTACAAACAATTACAAATATTGCCAAACAAGTTTCTCCCTCCAATCAGGTTAATTATCAGCATCTTACTCTGTTTTTATTACTACTTTTACAGAATTTAAGCAAATAGCATTATTGTTTATTTGGAAAATGAAAATTCATTTTCAAACATTATTTATGGTAACTGTGGTGTGGTAACTGTAAATATATTTTATTTAATTTTCTCTGATTTGGGATTGGCCACGTAGCTATAGTACTTCTTTTGCCCTTCATTGACTGAGTGTAGAACAACAAATAATGATCACATGCCACAGGCTGGATTTTTGTGATTGGTCTTGATACACAGTTATTTACACTCAAAATTTCAAAATCTTGATATTGGATTTCACACATGTAAGTTATCCATAGACTTTAAATAATAAAGTGGCATGAATTTTAGTAAATAACTTCATAATTCACTCAAAAAATCATTTCAGAAAATATTAGTTCTTGATTTTGGTTTGTCGTGTCTTTCATTAGTCCACAGTAGTGCCTGAAGCTCTTCAATTAAATATCCAAAGTTAGAATTTGTCACATCTTTCTGTAGTTATGTTTGTTAATTTTTTTAGTGACATTTTTTCAAATGAGACTCTTTTCTTAATGATTGATTAACCTGGGACCTATAAAAAAAGGATATTTAAAGCATATATTGAAGCTACTACTTCTAGCATTGCTGTCCGATAATTGAACCATATTAATCAAAATTATTCTTGGCATTGAGGAAGCAGATGTCAGCTGTCCATTATACTACCACAAAGACTTTATCTTGGTGTAAATACCACTCTTACCTGCTCTTCGTTTAAAGAGTTACAAGATTCGTATTTCCTTCTAATGGAGAGATTGCTTTAGCAATTACTAGAAAAGAAGCATGGTAGTAGAAGGCACTTCAGTTGTGTACACTTATTTCTGAAAGCAATATATGGTTTTTGATTGACGTGTGATAGGCAGCATTTAGGAATTTCTTCTGCAAGTTGTCAGATTCCCTTGGCTCTAACTAGAGTCACTTGAAAATTGAAGCATGTAACCACCACACAGAAGGTGCTCAATCCATCACAAGATCAGACGTCCTTAGCCTTAAGAGGTCTCCTATGAGTTTTGTGGAGCAGAAGGCAGATGCTGTTCTCATGCTTGTATTGGAATGTTTTGACTTCATGCTTCCTGTTATTCTTTTCAGCTCAGTTTATTTCTTCTGTTACGCCTTGGGCTCAAATGCTGTTTCAATACCTATGCCAGGTTACAGTGCTGCAGATGGAGCAGCTACCAGACCTGCCCGTGAAGATGAGCTTTATTACGTTATTTTCTTTGTTCAATGTCATGGTGGCAGCTTGTACGGACATATGTTTCCCTTTGGGATAGTTTTATAGGGATTTCTGATATAATAACTTCTACTCAAAGAGAGTGCAAAGCTGCTCCTCTGTGCTAGCCTCTTGGTCTCCCACCACCAGGCTATGGGAACTTCTCCAAGGCCGCAGGAGTCTTACAAATTGGTCAGGCAGCTCAGTTAGAGATGTGCAGCTGATGGCTCCTACTCCTGTTGACTTTTCCACCTCTCTGAAGCTGTGCTTCAAAGGTAATTTGAAAAATGTTCAGGTGCCCCCTTTCCTCTCCCTTCTGATTGTGCTGTTTCAGAAGAGCCAAGGTCCAGCCTAGAAGGTGGTTCGTAGTTTCAGAGTCATTGTCTGTTGGACATCCCAGGAATATAGAACTTGGCAATAAGATCAAACTGAAACATGGGAGTTGATTTTTTTGTCCAAATTCATTATGTCTAAGCACATATGAAATGGAAACCTGAGACAGAACAGTTTGCTTTTCCCTAGCCATAACAAAGTAGTGTATTTACACCTACCAGCCTGTTCCAGCACATTCTGCCTCCAATCTAGAAACTAACTCCTGTCTCTGACATCCATTAGGAACAGTGTGTTGGAGACCCCCTCCTCTTCTTTACTTTTTAAGTTTCACGCTTTGTAAATGACAATCACTGCTTGATGCAAATGTTGCACTCTATGCCACTCAGGGATATTTCTTTACTAAAAATAGCTATATAAATATAACAGAATAAGGAAGAGCATGTTAAAGGCTTTGAAGAGCATGGGTTGAGCTGCCCGAGTAAACATGACCCAGACAAGGCTTTCAAGCCAGTGATTTAAAGTAACACTGGTATAATCTGAATTCACTGTCAGCATTTCCTCAGCTTGATCTCACTTCACCCATTGTTTCACAGTCAGCAGAGTCCTACTAACCCATCAACTCATGATGTTAAGGTCCTTTTGGAAACAAAATATAAGTGAGCTTTGTAGAAATTACTGAATTTAGACAACTGACAAAAGAAAGTGCAGTGTAAAAGTGCTGAGTTTATGTACATTAATGTGAGCTTATACTTAAAATTGCTGAAGAAGAAAGGTTAAGACATGGAATAAGTGATAGTTTGTCAGCAATGATAGGAACACTGACCTATGATATGGAAAAATTACTATAAAGAACAAGTAGGTATGAGCAAGTGGCTAACAGCTACCATATTCTCTCAGGGATGCAGAATCATAGCTAGCCCAGGACTCTGTAGCAATGCTTCTTCATAGTACGACCAGTCCCTTTCTCACCTCAAGAAAACATTATCTGATTTTATACTGTGCTAGTGAACTTCCTAAAATTTTGGAATGTGCTTATCCCTAGCTTTATACCACATGTTTTCTATATATCTGTCATTACAAGAACACACACAGAAAGATAAATTGCAGTCAATTAGATTGCCAGTCATTAAGTTAATTTCTTGTCTTCAACCAAGAGGTTGT